ACACCATTATGTCCGGATTGTAAAAATTAGAAAGGACGCGATGGCGATCTCTCGCGCTCGCTCGCTCTCTCGCTCTCTCTCTCGATGTCGATTCCTGCCAATATTACAAATTGATCGACCGATACTTTTTATGTCTTCAGTTGAATATTTACTTCAGTGTTTTTTTTTGATTATTTCGTTATAATTATTGGTTTGCTCTTTGGTTCACATTTTGAACTTGGCAACGTCAGAGGACCAATACCTTTTTAAATATCCCATTTTAGGGTAGATGGAATATTTACTAAGACTACATGGGGAATACCAACATGAATTTAGGTTTACTTATTTGAGAGCTCTATGGAAAAGATACAACGTTTCAACTGATAAATCAAATGATAGTTTGTACATATATATTTTTTTTATTGGTTCGACTTGGGAGCACCAATCAGAGCTTTTTGTGCCACTTTTACTTATAATTTAAGTTCATAATTCTTTACTCATTAGGTGACTTTATATTTCGGTTTGGATGCGACTGTTCCACAATACATGGAGTCAAAGCAAGGCGCGGGTGCGGAACGGCTAGTTTGGTGGGCCGTTTATTCCACTTTGCTTCCAGGTGCAGATTTGGGTTTTAAGGATAGAAACAAATCTTGAGACAGGAACGGTCATACTTGTTAGTTAGTCAAAGAACGGAGCGGCGCGATTTGAGGGGGCGATAACTTTTTTTCTTATGCTTTTATAAGTAGATAAATGGTTCTTTTTTGCTGTTAACAAAAAATACTTTTTATATATACATGCAACTTCCTCAAGTAGGGACCTAGTTCAACTTCACATTATGGGCAAGGACATCGAGTAATAGGTGAAAGGGACAAGGTTGGTGTCTGTGGGAGTAAATGGATTTAATGTACATACATTCACCCATATACATATATACTTATATATATATATATATATACATATATATATGTATGTATAAGTGATGTTCTTACTAAAAATTTAGAAAATGTCTATATTCCTATTTTTTCCTATATCTTGAGAAGACTTTATAGGGTAAAGTTTATTGTATTCTTATCTGTCTTTTCCTCCATATTAATCTATGCTTAAGGAATTGGCATTCTGCCTTTTTAAAAATTTGTGTGAAACTTACGCATACTATTAAACGATTTGGTAATGGTGTTAAAACCCAAAAAACATAATTTCTTTAATATGGCATAGTCAGCAAGTACCATTTTTATTTAATTCACCAGGTGATCGACCTTAAGGAACATTAAAGGAAACCTTTTTGTGTTTATTTCGACTTAAGACATGTATACATACGGGTAAGCATTTTATTGTATTTTGTTTTCTCCGTTCCCTTCTCATGCATTCTTTTTCGTATGTGTGTTTGTATTTGCTCATGCGTTTTGGAACCAAAGATGTTTCTAGATGTTATTTTCTATTTTACACTCTTTATCTTTTTATATATATTATAATTAGAAGGACGTGTAATTTCATTTCATACTATTACCTAAGCATTAGCTTCTTTTTTCTTTTTCTTAGTTTCTCGTTTCATTTGTTAACCTACCAAATAAAAGTATGGACGTCGATACCTCCTTTCACACGTTCAAAATGTCTCTTTTTTTTTATTTTACAATTAATCAGTTCATTATTAACTAATTAAAAAGATGAAAGCATACACTTTTGATTGCGTCTATGACTCTTGTATATATTCCCCCCCCCTCCCCAATAGGGGTTTTTCCCCTGTTGGTGCCAGTGCTTTTCGTTTCCGCGTTTCCTGTTCGCGCCGTGTAAAACGCCATATCCCCCCCGACTTTACTTCCTCTTCTTTACTTTTGCAATGTGCGTGTCCTTTCGTGACCCGTCTTCAAGCATAGTCCCTCACAACCTCTCTCTCTCTCTCTCTCTTTCTCGTTCTCTCGTTCTCTCTCTCGCGTCATCGACCGAGCGACCGATCGGGTGAATAGCGATCTCGATCTCGTGCGATCGAGCGGGCGTTTTGGGTGTATGCCGATTTAGGCAACCGGGCGGAGCCGATGTCTGTGTTTGGACGCCCCAAACCCGCCGCGCCGGACCCCC